TTCAACCATTTCAAGAGGTATTATATGATCAAGACCCAATGATCCTGATGAATGTAAAACTAATGTTCTCCCATGTAAACTATCACATAATTCACAATAAAAACTTTTTTAAAAAAGTGCATTGAAGTTATTGGTAAAGAACAAGGCACCAGGAATAGATGGAATACAAATTTAAATATTTCAGCAAACTGATGCAGTGCTAGAGGCACTCAGTCATCTATGCTGAGAGATTTGGAAGACAACTACCTGGCCAACTGACTGTAAGAGGTGTCGAGAACTGGCCTCGATATGGGGGTTCAGTTCACGAAGGAGGGAGATCTGGTGGCGACAGAGATAGAGAAAAAGTACACACAAAGACGCAAAGACAGAGAACACAAAACACCCCAAAACCAGAGTGGATGAGAAACTGGCGGGCAGACCCTGGACTATGGGCATCGTGGCCCCTGCAGGCAGTAAAGCACCGCCCTGCAAACTGTTAACGCATGCCTTGCCAGCTGTAACACATCGAATGCCAACTGTAATGCATGCCCGTATTGCAAGCCACAACACATATGGGCTTCGGTCTGCGCCTCTGTTTTATTTCAGGGAGGAGCTTTACACAAAGGAAGGCAGGGTTTATTAAGATGGGGTACAGAAGTGAAATGTGATTAATCATTCAACACAGGACACAATGATTTACAGGAATCAAATTCTAAACCATACATCACAAATTGTCTTGATAATCTAACATCCTTAATTTTCCAGAAATTCAAGCAAATTTATATAGTACTTTTCAGGTTCGAAGCCCAGGGCAGCAACTCGGTTTCTCCAGCCTAATTAACATACCTATAGCACCTAATCTCGAATGGAACAGGTGAAAAGGATTGAAAGGAGTCCCTGCTGTGTCAGCTGCCTGGCCGAGACTTGCAGGAGGAAGCAAGAGGCCTAGCTGAATGGTTTGCACCTGGGATCTATCTGGTTTGCATCTATTATTCTTTCAACAAAACCCCGGAATTCGCCAATCCACTTTGGGTGAACTCCTTGGGGGAAACTTGCTTTTGGAACTTTTTACAGCCTCGG